TGGGGATATAAAATTTCTCTACAATTAATATCATCTCAGACTTTCTAGTACCTTAATTATTGCAACTCCCGGAGTATACGTATGCAACAAAAATACCATAAGAAACTAAAGTATTTTTCATTAATAAATTTGAGTGGGCCATATAATATCCCTTTTGATTTACTAGGACATCACCTCTCAATTTTAACATTTTGAGTTTTGCTAAATTTATGTTATTGACTTTTAGCATTTAAGAGTTCAATACTCGATGAGATGAACGATACAATAATGTTACTTATCTAAAGTTTAGATGATCATCATTTTACGTGACCTACTGAATCGATGATTATCTAACTTCGAGATAAATGAATTCCTCCTATCTTGCATCCAGAATCTATTATGTCGAGTCGATGAAGTTGTTTCAGTATCAAGAGTCGTGACTAATAAATCTAAACACATACCGCGTTTAACCACTTTCTTCACATGTTAGCATAAGTAATTGTGGTAATGCTTAAAATAATATTATGAACTTTCTTCCATCTTATGGTTTTCTTTCAAATTTTAACACCTAAAATATTGTTTTAACACTTCTAACTAAATCAACAACAAAGTTTTATTTGGACCATCAATTATTCAAAAGTACATTAACAAGGGAGGTTTGTACTTTTTTTAAAAAAATAGATGGGGTATCCATATCTCGATTATTATCATAAATATTAAGGAGTGTTTGCATTATTAGGGAGGATTGTGTAGTTTTATAAAAAGAAAGAGAGTGTTTCTGAAATTTTCATAAATCTCGAAGGAAGTATGCATTATTCAAAACTTGAAATAAGGGAGGTTTATGTAATTTTGAGAAATGAGAGGGTATCTTAGGAATTATCGGAAACATGAGGGGAGGTCTTCGTAATTTCTCTTTTTAATATTATTATTTACTTTTTAGATGTGATTTCAATTGAAAACATAAAGATAAAATTAAATTAAAAGATTAAGAGCAGGTTAGAAGAATTCATGATTAGATCATGTTCCCCGTTCTCACCCCATTTGGCATACAGTTAAATCTCGATAAAGTAATATCTTGGGATCGGAAAAAAATATCCATTTAGCGAGGTTATTTATTTATTGATAAATGAATAAATCGATAAATAAAAATTTATTATTTTAAAGAGAGCTTTTCAATATAAAATATGTATATTGTATGTGGTAAGAAAAATCAAAAGACACTAAT